AATAAAAAAATCTAAAAAGAATATAGAATTAGGTTTAATTAATTAATATCTTTTTTTCTTTTTCTCCCATAATAATTAAATAATCAAATATTTATTTTTATAATTAAATTTGTATATAAAAATTAGGGTTAATTTAGGTTAAAATTCAATGTTTTCTTAATAAATTAAAAGCCACTAGAATTAGGGTTAGTATTTATTTTAATTAATTCTTTTTTTCATTTAAATCATAAAATACCAAAAAAAACAATTTCTTTCTTTTCTTTTTAATTAATTAATTCCATGTAATTTTAATTTTGCAAAAAGGGTCCAACGCCCTCGTTTCGATTTAATTCTTATTCGCATATTTATTTTATTTCTTTATAATATTTATGTATCTCTCCCAAGGCCATGTAACATTTTAATTCTCTTGCACTTTACTTTTAATTCTTTATTTTTCTGTCAAATCGGGTCCTGGTTTAATTTTGGCGATGTGGACCCGCGCCTTTTGTAATAGCTTAGAATTTTTACTTTCCCGCAATATTTTTAACTGTTAACAAATGGCATGAAAGAATGTATGGACAAAAATAAAAACAAGCGCATAGAGCACCAATAACATGACAAAAGACAAAATAAATGAAAACGACACACGAATCGCACACACCACCCCTAGGGTACGTCTCACTGTTGCCTTGCCTCGAAAGGTGATTGTCGAGTAGAGGATGTCTTAGTAAGTCCTCATGATCCGGGAACCTGGCATGAGGGTAACTTCTAAGGTGTCTTCCTATTGCTCTGGTGATCACCATGTCCTGAACCTCGAATTGACCCGAACACCTCCAACGGTGGTGCTACCTACCTCTCAATGGTGGGATGGCACTACTTTAAAGGACATCTACACAGACGAATTCCTTAGGGTAGGTAGACGACTCTAGATACTTGCTCTAAACTTCAAAACAAATCAAAAAAATACTTTTCACACCAACATATTTTCAAAAAGCTTTCGAAAGCAATTTTTCAAACACTCTTGAGGACCGATACAAGAGTCGAACTGAAATTTTCAAAGAAACCTTTTTTTAAAACCCACAGTTGAAAAGCAAACAAACCATTTTGAAAACACAAATGAGCAAGTATCTAAGAGCCCATGGATAACCATGGATAGAAAGGGTGCTAACACCTTCCCTTTCTATAACCTACATCCCGAACCGAGAGCAATCTCTATAAGGAATTTTTCTGTGCTTTTGTCCTTTCCATTTGGAGAAAATAAAAGACGGTGGCGACTCTTGCTTCCGCGACATTTCGCGAACCAGCATTAAACAGTCAGTTCCAGATCCACCGATCACAATGGGGATCTGGCTGTACCCTGAATACGCGTCCATAAAAGATAGTAATTTAAATCCATAAGAGTTATCCACTAATTTATCTATGTTAGAAAATGGGTAAGCATATTTAGGGAAAGCCCTATTGAGATCATTATAATCAACACATATCCTCCACTTTCCATTAGATTTTTAACGAGTACAATATTTGAGAGCCAGGTTGTGTACTGGGCTCGTGAAATAAAATTTTCCTCTAAGAGGTCTTTTACAGTTTTTTCAGCAGCCTCTGCTTTCTTGGGAGACTGCCCATGCCTATGTTGCACTACAAACATATTAGCGTGGTGTATGGTCAGCTGGTGGCAGGTGGCCTCAGGGTCTAGTCCGGGCATCTCAGTAGCGCTCCATGCAAACAGGTTTTCATTTTCTCTAAGGCAGGCTTTCAACTGCTTCCATGCAAGGTCGGAGAGGCCAATGACAATCTTTACTCCCTTGTCTGGATCATTGTCGAGGAGGATGAGTTCAAAATCGTCATACGAAATAGGGCGCCTAGAATGGGGAGCCTCCTCGTCGTCCTCTGGTGCTGCCATCCGGGCTTCCCTTTCCTTCTTCTTCTGCACCTTTAGGTCATCTTTGGTGAAGCGACGGTCGATGTCGATTGAGTCGACACAAGGTATTGGCTTTAGTTCCTCCGAACTGCTAGGTGGCGCTGGCTTCTCGATGGTCCTGGGTGGTATGTTGATGGAGTTCTACCCCTTCGCGGCCGCTTTAAAGCATCTTCTGGCGGCATCAATGTTTCCGTGGAGGGTGGCGACGAGCTCCTTGAGAGTGTAATACTTCATCTTCAAGTGAACCATGGAAGGCATGACGATCAATTTGGATATAGTTGGCCTCCCCGGGACGCACTAGTATAGAGACGAACAGTCTATCATCAGGAATTGGTTTTTGACCGCTCTGGAGGTATCGACTGCTCCGAAGGTGACGATCAGCTCGACATAGCCCTAGGATCAAATATGTCTCATCGAGTTGTAGTGTCTTGAACAAGTGAAAGTACATGATATCGACCGAGCTTCCTTGATCGACCAATATGCAGCGTACATAGAAGTTTTCCATTTGTGCTCTCACGAGCAGGGGGGATGCAGGAGCTAGGGGAGCCACCGAGAAGTTCCTCTCGGTAGAATGCGATAGGGTTTGAGCCTCCCTGGAACCTCTCGAGGGTAGCATTCTGGCTCGAGCTCACATTGATAAGTTCCTCGAACTTCCATTTTATCGAACCTAAGGTGAGGTTGTTGAATCCTCCGCCAGATATGACCATGACGGAGGGGGAGGACTCCCACAGGATGTGTGTTGCAGTTTAAAGGGGGAAATTAGGATTGTCGGGGACGAAGAAGTCCTTCGGCTGGGAGATGGTTATGGCGATCTGGAGGTTGGCAGCATCGTCAGAGGGTGGCATTTCTTCCTCGACCTTATTGGCTTCTCGGACGTCTTGCTGAGGGGCTTCTCTTTTCTGATACTTGCAATGTTCCATCTCTATTTCATTCCGACTTAAGCGTTAGAATGTTAATATTTTTTGCAGGTACCATCTCCAATAAAAAACTATTGTCACTACACCGTAAGTATATTCATGATGACATTCATTAATATACATATCAGTTTTTATTATGGTATGAAATAAATATTAAGTTATTTTAATCAGAACAATGATTATAAATATTAAACAATAAAAATATTTTTAAACAAATTCATTTGTTCTAGCGGCTCTTTCAAAAATGTACTTAAATGGTGTCGTGTGTTTGATTCCACCAAACTACATTTTTTTTAAAATTTTTATTGGCTTACTTATAATTTTAGTGTCTTTATTTTCATTTTTTTCTATTTTTGATACCCCTATTTTAAAATTTAATTTTTTAGCCTTCAATTTCATTTTTTTTTTGAAATTTTAATGCCTCTTTTAATTTGAGCTCAAATTTTAATGACATGACAACCACTTGATGATGGTTACATCTACTTAAATTAAATTCATGTTATTTTTTATTTTATAACTTATAATTAAATCTATCATGTATGTGCTGGGTCATAGCCAAAGGCTATGTTTAAAAAAGAATGAAGCGGAATGGAGCGGAGCGGGATGGAATGGAGCGGAATAGAGTAAAGTGGAATAAAATATCATTCTATTGTTTGGGTAGGTCATGATGGAATTCTGTCATTTTATCATTCCGTCCAAATTGGAGAGTAAAAAAATGATGGAAAGTGATGGAATGAGATGAAATGCATTCTATTCGATGCCGCTCCATTCCATCATTTTTTAACAATCCAAATAATGGAACATAACTTTATTCCATTCTATTCTGCTCCATTTCATCCTATTCCACCGATCCAAATATACCCTAAGTTACATTTTTATCATTTACCACAAGCTTCCGTTACTCTTATTCATGGTGGCAAATTGAAGGTTGATGCTGCACATTTCAACGTTGGCAAGCTCTCCACCAAACATATTTTATTAAATGAATGACTATTTTTTCTATTTCTTGCATTTTGTATTGTTTATACCATGGATAAGAAGTTAATAGGTTTCAACTCAGATTTCTTAACTTATACGGTTAACTGATAAACTAGCTGATAGTTTATACCTTATAATTGATGATTTATAATTTATAATTATAGTTTATAGTTAATGACTGATGACTTATAGTTAATAAGTTAATTGAAGTGTTTGGTAAAGTTCATGATTCAATTAGTTAATAAATTAGAATGACATAAAAGATATTTAATATAAAATTATTATTATTATTATGATAAATCAACAGTTCATTAATGTCAAACTCAAATTGTCAATACAAAGAAGGTCTATACAGACCAAATACACTATAGGTTGTTACACCAATTTATATCAACAATACTCATTCTATTAGTGTCTATACTAGTAATTCTATTATTCACATCATTAACAATTCTGTTATAACAAATGTCAGGCAGAAGGAGCTTGTTGTTCCATAGAACATCATTCTTGACTTTCCATGTGTGGTAAACCAGAGCTGCTACAGTAGTCGCATAAACCTTGCTCCAAAACTTCTTAGCTTTTCCTATACTCAGCCATCTAACAGTAAGATTCAAATCATTTTCCATAATATTCCATCTTAGTCAGTTTTTAGCTTTATTCCAGCAATACCTGCTAAAGTGACAGTCAAAGAATAGATGGGATAGAGATTCATCATGCTCTCCACAGATCAGGCATCTACTGCTGTCTACCACTCCCATATTCTTCAGTCTGACTCTAGTTTTTAATATGTCCATTATAGCCAGCCAAGTTATAAAACTGTGCTTTGGCATATTCAGGGAATTCCAAACAATGCTCATCCAGTACACTTTATCATTCTCCTCATCAAACAACTTAGCAATTTTCCTAACTTTATAATCAAAATTGATAAAAGTGTTTTTATCTATTTTACCTTTGATTTTCTCCTTTGCCTCAACAACCTTCTTCCAATACCAACTAGCTTGCTGAGGACACTTATATTCCCACCAGTCCACACCCTTGAGATACACATGATGAATCCATTGCACTCATAAGTTCTCATTATTATTGGCAATACTCCAAGCATGTCTGCCAATATCAGCAGTATTCTAGTGCATATAATTCTTAAAGCCTAGACCCCCCATCCGCTTTGGCTTGCACAAGTTATCCCATGCTATGTTGCCTGCAGTCACTTAAGTAGCTTTGCCAGTCCACCAGAATGCTCTACAGATCATGGTGATGTCCTTTATAACTCTTTTAGGGATAATGATTATTTGACTCCAATAGGAGTGAATGGCTAAGATAAATGAGTTGATTAATACCACCCTGCCAGTAAAAGATAGATGTCTGGAACTCCAAATTCTGATTCTTGTAGTAATCTTATCCACCAAAATCTGGAAATCTTTAGCCGAAAACCTTTTAGAGTTGATAGGCATGCCAAGGTATTTAAAAGGGAGAATACTCTTACTGAACCCAAATGCATCTAATAATCTCTGCAAGTCTGTTTCCTTCAAGCCACTACAGTATATTTCAGATTTGTTCTTGTTGGGGTAAAGCCCAGAAGTTTTAGAAAAAATAAGCATACCTTGCAACATCAGATAACTTGACTGATAGTCTCCATGGCAGAAGAGGAGGACTTCATCCGTAAAACTGAAATGGTTCAAAATTGAGGATCTCGCAATTCTCATGAAATCTAATGTTGTCTAGGGATCCCACTTTCTTCGTGATTCTTAAAAGATACTCCATGCCTATCACAAATAGCAAGGGAGACATGAGGTCTCCTTGCCTCAAACCTCTTTTTGCATGGAAGAAACCATGGGTAGAACCATTCAATATCAAAGAGAACTTAGGGGTACTAACACAATTCATGATCAGCTCAATAAATTTCCTGGGGAAATTTAAACTAGCTAACATTTCTTCAATGAAGTTCCAGTCGATGGTGTCATAAGCTTTCCTTAAGTCTAGCTTGATCATACAATTGTTCCTACTATTTTTCCTTCATAATGTTTAACCAACTATTGGAAAATCATTATGTTATGGGCAATATAACGACCTTTCACAAATTCTCCTTGGTTGGGGGAAATAATATCCGGAAGGACATTCCTTAATCTCTTACAGATAAGGCCAGTAATCACTTACAATAGAGGGGTAATTCATCTTGGGAATAAGAGTGAGTGTCGTTGAGTTGAGTTCCTTCAAAATAGCACACGTATTCAAGAAGTCTATGACTGCTCTGTGACCTTAGGGCCTATTATCTCCCAATTGTCCTGCGGGAAAAAACTGCTATAACCATCTGGCCCGAGGGCTTTATTTCCACTGATACTGAACACAATATCTTTCACTTCATCTTCAAGATAAGGACTGATTAAGTACTCTTGTTGCTCTTGCGTTACTAACTTCCCATGATCCAGCACAATCTTCTAAACATTCAATCTATCCTCCATCTTCGATCCAAGCAGATCCTGATAAAAGTCTATAAATTCTTGAACTACCTCAAGAGGACTGTTGATCCATTGCCACTGCTGGTAGTGATAGATGTGACTCTGTTATTATTTGCCCCGTGTCTTATGCTTGCATGGAATAATTCAGAATTCCTGTCTCCCCTCTTTGATCCACGAGTGTTTAGCTTTTTGAGATAGATAGTTGCAGTAAGCTTTTTGGGCCATCATCGCTTTCTCTCTAGCTTCCTTCTCTTTTTTAATAGCATTATGGTTGAGGGGGTCTCTGTTCAGATCATGTTGACAAGCTTCGAGAGTTTTCTTGGCTGCATTATCTTCATCTTGTAAGTTGTTAAACCCTTTCTTGTTGATATCTCTCAAGACATACTTGAGATTCTTCATTTACTGAGTAACTCTGTACATGGAAGTACCAGCCACATGCTTGTACCAACTATCCTTGATGATCTCTTTAAAATTAGGATACTTCCACATCCTAAAGTATCTAAAAGGCTTCTTACCATTGATCATGTCAGGAACTGCAGAGAGGATTGCTGGGGAGTGGTAATAATTTCCCTCTAAGGGGAAGTAGACTTCAGCATTAGGAAAGCAATTAAGCCATGCATTTTTTGCCAGCGCCCTGTCAATTTTGGAACAGATTTTGTCATCCCCCTGTTGCCTATTGTTCCAGGTATAATAGTTGCCATTATACTTAATATCTTCCAGATGACAAGTGTTCACACAGGTCAGTAAGTCACTGTTGTTAGAATATTTCACTCTCTTGCCTATCCTATCCTCCTTAGCAAGAATGTCATTGAAGTCACCAAGAACCATCCAAGGGTTATTAGAATTTAATCTAATTAAATCTTTCCAGAGCTCTTTCCTCCCTGCCTCATTATTGAAGTCATACACAAATTTTATAAGAAAATCCTTCTTCAAAGTTTTATACCTCACATTAAGGTGGATAATCTAATTTGTACACATTAAGGGTTTCATCCCAGGACAATTCTTCCTCCTTCATGCCACACAATGTTTGAAGTAAAACTTCAACATATAAACATATTTAAGTAAAGTTTGTCAAGGTTCTTACCCTTGACCCTAGTCTCAAGGAGACCAACCATGCCAATCATATTCCTACAGATGAAATTTTTAATTTCTCTTTGCTTGATATGATTGTTGATCCCCCTGATATTTCATGAGGTTATTCTATGCATTAGGAAGAGGGGTGACTCCCTCCCCTCCCCTGTTATCAAGATCCTCATGAGCTTTTGAGCTTTCACCATCTTCCATCCCTTCTAATGCATTAAAAGGGTTACTAGTTAAGGCCTCCTTCTGTTTAGTTTCCACTATCTCTTTATGCTTCACACCTTTCATAACAATCTGAAACCCTTCAGTATCTCTCACAGGCTGACCAGGCTTTGTTATTTCAACTTTCCCGGTTACCCATTGTTGTCTTGAAGGTTTGTTCTTGCGGCACTCTTCAGTTTTATGACCAACTCCTTGGCAGTGATTGAATTTTTCAGGCTTCCATTCATACCCAATTTGCACCTCCATAATTCTTCCTCTTTCATCTTCAAACTGAATGCTGTTAGGGAACCTTTTCTTTATGGATACTTTTGTCCACTCATTTTGCTTTCCAAATCCTTCTAATGAATCCCTCTATCGTTGATAATGGAGGATTAGCTCCCAGAAGATATCAAACTAGGGAGGACTTCCGATACGCTATTTCTTCTTCAATATCTTCTAATTCTATTTTGACTCTTTTCACCACATGTCCTCCGTCCTCAAATTTTCTACTAAGATTTTGTGTTGTAATATTCAAGATTGGAGAGGTTAGGGTTTTACCTTTAACGATGCCTCTTGCACAATCTTCATTTTCCTTTATGAAATTTGCAATTCCATGCTCTAGTTCTATAGCAATTCCTTCACGTGGTGTGACTTCTTCGTCGTTAGAGCTTCCCCTCTTCTCCAAACACTAACGGTTCAGCCCCATGATTTCAACCAAATAGTTTGTTTTCTTGCCATCAATCGATGCACTTGGTCCTTGTTTCTTCTTTTGTTTCGATTTCCCTTGGAGTGTGTAGTGGTCCTTTCCATAGCTCCAATCTTCTCAAATTGAGACCGATCTACGCCACCAAGATCCTTCTGATCCAGTCCCTAATTCGAAAATTAGGAGTTTAAACCTTCACGGTTGGAATCTCCGCTACAAAATTGTAGAAAATTTCCCTTAAAATCTAGCGCCACCGTGCCAAAGTAGGTTAACATCGTACCGGTAACAGAATAGTCTTCGCCGGGTATCGCTAGAGATAAAATTGTCTCTTGATTGTGTTAAAAAATTAAATTAAATTATTTTAAATTAAAATAAATTATAAATGATGGTAATGAATTTTAGTTAAAATAATAAGAGTAAAAATAAAAGAAAAAATAATAAGATATAAATTATAAGGTAAAATACTATTTAAAATAGTGTTTAGAAATAAGATATAACATAATAAAATAAATTATAAGTTTGTTATAAAAAAACTGTTACAAAATAGGTTTTTATTGTTAGATGAATTTATAAACTATAAATTATAAAAAATAAACTTAAAAAAATTCTTGCCAAAACCTTAGAATGTGATTTTTCATCATTTGATTAGAAATACAATATTTCATCAATAAACAAGTGAAGGAACTCAATGAATAGGTCAGAGAAAGGAAGAAAAAAATTATGAAACAAAAAATTCATAAGAGAAAAGAGTATAATTTATTCTAACTTTTGACAACTCTCTGAATTCATATTTTACCGGACAGAGGATTTGATAAATACAATTATTAATAGCACAAAAAAATAATGGATAAATCAGAACATTTTCTCCTCAAATAAATACATTTGCCTTCAATTTACATGAAAACGTAATGACTCATATGGTTAGTTAGAATTGACACATTATCAAATAAACGGTTATATAATGTCATTAAAATTTTAGTTTGATATTCTTTTTGGTCTCTTACCTATACCTCTGAGTCCAGTTTGGTCTTCTTTCTTTTAAAAGGACCAACTAAATCCCTTATGTTATCAAATAGAAGCAATCAAGTCCTTTCTGTCAAATAATGGCAAACGGCGTTAGGAATTATTGACGTGGCTGTTGAGTTGTATTTTCCCATTCACAACCTTCTTCTTTGTTGATAAATAGATTGAGACACTTACCCCTAAAACTTAACCTAATTTTAAAGGTTCAAGAATTCTTTTCAAAATGGAACCTAATTCGCATACTGCATGGAACAAATCATGTGTGGCTTCCGCGGTTCATCATCATCATCGAAAAGCATAAGTGATTTGCAGGTTTCTAGCAGCTTGAATGTTCCATGAAAACCATTTTATGGATGTGGAGATACGATTGTACTTCATAGGGCAAGAACTGCAAACAATTATGGGATGCTTTTTTGGGGATGTCAACATTTTAAGGTACCGTGTTTTATGTATATTATAGGTAGTCTGAAAATTTATGGGGATCTAATTGTTCGTTTAAAGCTGTACAGGGACATAATAATGCTGGTTGTGGATTCTTTGAATTGTTCTTTGAATAAGTTATAAATGAGAAAGAGCAAATCACCATGAACTAAGAAAATAAGATTGATGTGCTAACACAAGAGATGAAGGAAGCCAAAAAAAAGTTTGAACAACTTAGGTCTAATAATATGGAGTTAAAAGCTGCTTTGAAGAACACCATAAAGTGGAAATTGTTTTGGAAATTTATGTTCTATGTTGTGTCCTTAGTTTTAGTATTCAAGATGTTGTAAGGTTGAAACTTTAATATGTGCCCTTCGTTTTAGTTGCCAAAGATGTTGTAATGTTGGAACTTTTAGTAGAATTTTGGCTGAATGTAGAAGTTGGATTTTACTTGGCTTTATTTTGCCTTTATTTTGATACATAATTTTGATAAAACATTGCACAAACCTTGTTTAATTGGTATATAACATGTTATAAAACATAAATATAACCTTGTTCGTTGATGCATAACATTGCACAAAAACATACATGACTTCATTAAGTACATACATGACATAACCTTGTCTCAAAATGACATTATACCAAAAAACAGACATGTCAACAAACTTTGTCCCAAAACAGACATGTTACAAAACATGTTCTCAAAACACAAATAGAAAGGTACAAGATAACATAGAAAAGACTAAATAATATTTTTTGGTTGTATCTTTTTGTTGGTGTGGTCCTCCTAGTAGTAGGTCCAATTGTATTTCGTGATGCACTTAGTCTCGTAGTTGGACCCCTTGTAGCAGACATCTCAACTGATTTCCTGACAGGTAATTTCTTTGGCCTTCCTTCTTGTTGAGATGATTGAGTAGTTTGACTTTGTGGCTGAGATGATGCTGCTTGAGTAGTTGTCTGAGTTGGCTGGGTTGAAGTTGCTTGCTGAGTTGGCTGAGTAGGTGGTGTCTTCTTACAGGTTAACTTATTATGTCTAATTTTCCTACATCTGGTACACCTAACTACCATTCCTATTTTCCTTATCTTCCTATATGTCCCATAAATTTCACCCTGCTCTCGGTTCCTCCTCTTTTTGGGTCTTCCTGGCATTTTTATGAATTTTGGTGGTTGCACATCTGGGTACTCGGTTCTGACCCACAAATTTGTATCATTAATTGGATAAATGGTTGGTTCATATACATCTTGATGCCTTACTTTCTTATAAATGTTTGGGATGTTCACATTGTCGTGACCTAAACTCACACCCTCAGCACCATCTATGTTCACACCCTCAACACCATCTATGTTCATATTCTCAGCACCATCTATGTTCATATTCTCAGGTTCCTTAGTGACTTATACCTAAGGGATTAAAACAGTTATAGGTTCTTCCTCCATAGTTATAGGTTCTTCTATAGGGATATCAACATATTCTGGTTGGGACAAGGTATGTTCTATGTAAATATCAACATGCAAGTGTACCCTATACAAGTCAGCAACCTCCAACACAACCTTATCATCATTAAGAACATTCATCATAAAAGTGGGATCCTTGTAATAAACCATGTTTACCTCAGTATAACCTAAAACTTTCAGTATCCCAATCAATTTAAAGTAACTCCACATATCAATGCCTACCTTTGCATCATCACATATCCCCCCAACATACTCAGTTTTTTAAGCGTCCATAAACTCACCACTATGATGGATTTTTAGTAACATATATTCATCCATATCGACACAACACAAGCAAATGGAAAATTTTAAAACACATTACAAAAGGGGCTAAACCCTAGGTTTCTAAATCCAATTAAAAAAATTCAAATCCAGATAATCAAAACACTTGGAGATACTACAAATGACAACAAAATTTCTAAAACTAACCCCGATTGAGACCATCTTCCACACCTTCGTCATCTTTAATGGCTTCCAGCGAGTTCGTTTTCACTCTAGGGTTCCTCTTTCAATTTTGCTTAGAATGAAAAGTGAAATGTGAGACATAGACATGTAATCTCCAACATATGTATACCATCTTACCACATAGTCATAAACTTACCACGTCAGCTAGCCACCTAATCATAAACTTAACGTTTCTAACAGAAAGGACTAACGTGGTATACTTTTGGTAACGTAAGGGATTTAGTTGGTCCTTTTAAAAGAAAAAGGACCAAACAGAACTCAGAAATATAAGTAAGAGACTAAAAAAGGTATTAAACCTAAAATTTTCTTTTTAAATTTGAAAAGGGATTATAATTCCAACAAAAAAAAACAAAACAGAGAAAGAGACCAAAATTTAAAAAAAAAAGATGAAAATAAATGGACCATTTTATTTTATAAACAACATGTGAACAATTCTTGGCTCTTCGTGTCTCTTTGAAGAAAACGAAATTGAGGGCAAGACCAAAAAAAAAACAAAGGGACCATTTTATTTTATATTGTACTTCATTCGTTTCAAAATGACTGTCGTTTTAGCAAATAAATTTTGTTTCAAAATGACTGTCATTTTCACTTTTCAATGTAGTAATGATTATTATTTTTCTAATTGTCTCATTTACTTTTTACTCTCTACACTACTTTCAATATATTAATAGAATTAATTTTGTAAAAGTATAATGTCTTATGACAACATCGTTACATTCGTTAATTTATTTGCAAAAACCTTACACAATGTTCATTTTAAAACAGAGTGATTCCTCTCTCTCCATTTGTCTCCTTCCACCTTAATTTGTTACTCTTTCCTTCCCATCTTACACCTACACCACCTTCAAATTTGTCTAGAAATGCTCTGCTTTGTTTGTTACCACACACAAAATTATCCTGATTTGAACAAATAAATCGTCATAGAAGAATCTCTATTTATTTGATACGACTTTGCTAATGTAAATAGAATTTAAGTGCTTGAACAACATTGTTTAATCTCAATCTATGATTGAATTGAAATTGGTAACAAACGATTATGTGTGTCATAATAGGTATAACATGGATAATTGAAATAAATACATAATATTTTCTAGAATATAATTTCTATGTGCTGCAGTTGTTCAATTTCTTTTTGTTACATCAAAATTCAATCTTTCTTCTTTTCAATTAACTCTTGTGCAGTGGTGTTTGGGCTTGAAACATATACACTCTTCTATGATTGTTGTTAAACGATGGATTCAATTTGTCCGACAGTTTTTCTTCAAAATATATAAAATTAGGTTAAAACAATTATTTAACATGAATTTGATAGAGTTTATCTTGAATTTTTGAAATAAACTTGTGCAGATTTAGGTAAAAAATTAACAATAAGTATGATAGTTTTTGTTTGGATGCATTGAGACTTTTATTTAGAAGTTATTATATTTTCTACATTCTAAAAAATTTACCGTGCTAGAAGGAGATGATGAATTGGAAAAGATGAAGGTATTAATTATAGTATGTGAAAAGATATGAATTTTTTTTATTAATAACCATGTATTAAAATAATATTTCGCAAAAAATCGGGTTTCAGAAAAAATTACGTAA